ATTGTTGGGGGCAATATGCTGACTCTCTGTAAACCGCTTAGAGAGGCCTGAAAGGCCTATGAAGCGGTATATAAGTCTACTGCTATTGCTATCTAGATTACCTTGTACTATAGTAGCCTATGACAATGCAATAGAAGTGAAGTTATATTCCTTTCCTTTTGGAGATACCAACAACAATGCATTCATTTCTGGCATGGCTAAACACTTTTATTTCCTATTAATGGGGAATTTACTTCTTCCTGAGATATTTTGCTAGAATCACACTGTTTCTTACCTCATTGCCTTTGCTTACTCGTCTTGCAACAATCAGTTGAATCATTCCCCGTTTATTTCCCTCTGTGGACATGGATCTACGCAAAGTTTCCATGGCATCTTGGTTCGTCTTTCCCAATAATGATTCTCCATTTACTGCTATTAATTGATCATTCACTCGGAGTCTTCCATCCTAACAAGTAAAAAGAAAACTGAGAGTTATTAAAGTTTTTTCTGGCTTCATTAATTTAACAAAAGAGAACAAAAAAACCCATAAATTATGAATTTTTATGCATGTGTATGTGTGTAAGGGGGGAGCAATTTTATATAAAAGTTAGATTACCATTTTTTTATCAGACATCCAAATAGAGTGCATATATTGCAAGTATTCATTCATAAATTACAAATAATATCAGGTATTCAATTCACTGGGTAATTGGGATAATAAATTTATCTTTCCAGAATTAATTTCTTAGCAAAAAGTAAGGACACCGTGAATGCACTTCCATTGTACAGCTGTCAATTTCCATGTAGTACACATGTAGTTCAAAATAATGTCTATGTTCAAAAATACCACATGAATATTTAAATAAGAATGTTTCCTTAAAATCAAATTAATGTATATAATTACTTTTTACCAAAACATAACTTTGGAACATTACAAAAAATATGTTTTAGTAAGCATTGTTCTTATTGCATCTCCAATAATTGATGATCTCCTAATATAGAAGACTTCTGACAATTGTGATCCAAATTTCCCTTGTTAAGCAAAGTGTTTAGTGAATCACACCTGATTTTATGACTTTTAGATGCAAATAATCTCCTATAACAACAAAAAAAGAAGATATGCTAGGAATACTTATTTGTGCTTTCACAGATTATAAATACAAATTTGACATGTGTAATGAAATCAGTTCATCACATTTATTTCTTTTCCTGGTCCTTTTTGCCTTGAGATAAAGGTCAAAAGTGATCTTAGTAGACCAAAGGTGTCAAACTTGTGGCGTCACATTGCTGTCACGTGACTTTTGTGGCATTTTTTCCATTTGTGAAACTGGGGTGGGCCTGTGTGTGACGCATCCAGCCCATGGGCCACCATGTTTGACACCCCTGTGGTAGACAGACACTGTAAAAAGGAGATGCTGACAGATTGAAATACTTCTATTAATGTAGCTTTACAAAAAGTAGAATTGGTTTATAATGTTTTATTTCCTGTCTGTCTACACCATAAGGGTGAAATCAATCAGATTGATCAAAACAAGATTCTCCCACCATTTTTTTCATAGCCCAAACTACTAGAAAGGATCTCTTCTGAATCTCTTGCTCTTCCTATTTTGCTGTGCTTTCTCTTATCTGTTTCCTATACATCATTCCCCTAACTGCTTTTTCCCACATACCATTACACACTGACTGGAATCACCCATTATATTAAACCTTGTTGATCAAAACCCTTAGTGGAGGGGTGTCAAACTCGTGGACTGCGGGCTAGATGCATCATGCACTAGCCACCCTCACCCCCATTTTAGCGAAGAGGAAAAAAGTCATGATACATCACGTGGCGACAACATGACACACTGCAGGTTTGACAGCCCTGCCTTAGTGTTTTGCTTTAGCAAAAGCATACTGTCTATTGGACATATTACAAACCTAAACTATATGATATTTTATTTGGAGCATCAAAAGTGGAGATAGCATTTGCTGAATCATCATACTAATTATTCAAATGTAAAACTGGAAAATGGAGGAAGTAACGATGCATAACAGGAAATCAATAGTGGTTTGCCTAAGAGATGCTGGATTATGGAACATTATCTGACATGTCTGAAATATACTTGCCTTAGAAGCTGCTCCGCCATTAATAATGGACTTCACAAAGATGCCAAGGTCTGCATGATTCTCTTTTGACCGGTTACCTTTCACACTGACACCAAGTCCAGCTGACCCAGAATCATTAAGTGGAACCTCAAAAGTCAGAAATTCTCTGGTGCCATCAGCGGTAAGAACAAGATCCTCTTCTTCTGGTTGCTGTTAGGAAAAATTCAACATGGTATTTTTTTTCTTTAAAAAAATCTTGTTTGCAATTATTCTTCACTACAACTACATAATATTTTGAAAAATGGTGGCAGTACAATACTTCTACTGTAATCCCTATTAACATTCTGTAGGGAAATTTGTAATAATGGTACATCTGCCAGCACTGTCAAATAATTCCTAGAACCAGATGTGGCAGTCTGCGTGTATAAAAACAGAGTGGGGGGGGGGAAATGGCTGTGTGTATGAGAGAAAGAGAATATATGCACATGGATTTAAATGTGGTGCTTTCTGGATTATTACAAAATACAACTGTTTAATTCCTGAACAGGAAAATATTATTGGATGCATTAAGCCTAATGTTCTGGAAGTTCATTTGTCCTTTGAAATAGTGGCATTTGAATATCTATGTTTTCTAAGCAGCAAGAAAATTACAAAGAGCAAGCAAATGGATACATAACAATTAGTCATTTGTGCAGTTTTTCTTTTTCAGGTAGGACTATTAATACTATTCAAAGAAGTGACAGAAAAAACCACCTAAAATACAATCAGGTAACAGCAAATCCTTTTACTGTGAGCATCAGAAAAATTCTATGCAATATTACTACTGCCAGTATAATTTTCTTTTGTCTACTCTCTTTTCACAACTGTTCTCTTTTCACACACTCTACCTTTGTTCCTTTAGTATGCTGCCTTAGATCCAAATAAATAATAAGAGATATCCACCCTTCTGAGTACTGCCTACAGACAGAGGCATCAAACATACAGTGACGAAGATAAGATATATGCCGTTTTGCTACTGTATTTTAAACATTAAGCACTCTCACACTCTACATATTGTCATGTTGTGAATACATTTGCTTTTGAGCGAGGTAAGACTGGTGAGCAATGATTCGCTGCCTTAGCAAGGAAACTGTGCAGATGTAGCCATTAAAGTGTCGCTAGATAATATCAATGTATTTATTTAAGAAACTTATACGTGTCTTCTTTTTGAGAGACGTTTTTCTACTGTATGTGATGTGTTTTCTTTGCTAACATCAAAGAGAAAATGATGACTCAATTCAACAGTGGATCCACATTTAAAATCAGAACTAGAGAGTTCCCTTCTGCACTCTCTGCTCGCAAAAATAAATCTGAAGGAAAAAAATGATTTTTCCCATTAAAGCAAAACACTACTTTGTTAAGGATCAATACACTCCTTTGTATTGCCTCTTTATGTCATCTGCTTGATTATAGGAACACACACAAATGCAGACAGAAAGAGATTTGGGGAAGGGTGGGTCGGAGGCAGTAGTAAACCAAATCACAAAGCTTTTTTAAAATTTTTCCTTCAAAAGGGATTTTCTGCATCCTGCCCCAAGTTGTGCATCAATAAATTCAATTATTAAATAAATTATCTTCCTAAATCCATGGTTTGACCTAAGCTTAAACTATAATTTTAAACAAAACATAAGAAAATATTAATATATTAAATATTCAGATCCAGGGACAATAGCTTATTTTTTTAAAAAGGAATATAATAAGCAATAATAATTGCACAATGTTTTGGAAGGAAGAAATTCTGTGTTTGGCAGAGCTAATATTTCAAAATATTAAAGGATCTCTAGAAGGCAGGAGGAGGATTTTTATATGACATAATGTTATGGTCCTTAAATCAGAGAATGAACAAACCATAACTAATTTATAATAATATTAAGCAACAATTTATTTATTTATTTATTTATTTATTTATTTATTTATTTATTTATTTATTTATTTATTTATTTATTTATTTGAGGCTGCATTTTATTTGAAAATCTTTTTTTTTGCTAACATACATTTTTATAACTTTTTAAACAAAAATAGAATCTGCAGAGACAACG